AATTATAAATCAAAACCAACTCTCTTAAAATTTTCTTACTACTATCTAAATAGTGAGTGATTTATATCCGAATTTTACATTTTTTGCACATATAGCTCTTCTGTAGTCATATTACCTTAAGGAGTATGTTTAATCTAGTCGATGTGTCGATTTCACCACCTGTATACCCGCATTCCCAGAATTCCGTTTCCTGTTTCCCGCGGCAAGAGGTCCTATTCCGCAGTTCCACTACTGGAGTCGTGACCAGTCTTAGATGAATCACCATATCCCAGACACACTATACAGCATAGTTTGACATTTTCACACTCGTTCTTGGCTGCAATACTGGAGCGGATAGTATTTTCCTCAACCGTTTTAGAGCACTATGATATGGTATGAAGGTATTTTCAAGAATGATGAACATCACAACACTTATAATCTGGCATGATAGAATCGCTGACATAAGAAACATAGTAAATGTTGCAAGTTTCTTTTCGTCAGTGGAGCTATTATAATTTACAGTTTATGTGTATCTTGTTTTGATTCCAGTTTAAAATACCAAAATCTCACTAACTTATTAATTATAAACTAACCTAAGGGTGGTTAGGTTAAGTTAGGTTAGGTTAGGTTAGGTTATGTTAGGAAAATGTGTTATTTAACTAATTAAAATATTGTTTGGAAGTCGATTCATCGGCGTGTTCGGTGTAATACTAAAGTACCGGTACCAAAAAAAAAACAATTCAATTGTATATCCACAGTCACTCGGAACCTATAACAATACTCTGTTGAAATCAAAAAACAAAACAAGTAGTAACAAACTAAAACTACATCTGTTATACTGTATGTTGTTTTATATGGCTGCTTTTGTTTGACTATTATAGGTGTTCTCTGGGGTTTTTATTGCGAAGCTTCGACTGGTTTTGTTTACTTTTTTAAAGAAACTTCCTCACTTAGGGATGGAAAAAGGAATCAAATCCTAAAATTCATGAATTCTTTTACTAATCGTGAGATGGATAATGTCTTAAATAATCTCCTAAAAACCACAAACACGCCATAACCAAAAATTAACTTAAAACGAATTCAAGGCTGATGCTTCTAAACATAAAAAACACAGTAAAAGTAATAGTATAAACAAAACGTATCTGTTAAATCTATTCTACAAAAGACATTTTTAATCCTTCACACCAAAAGACAACCTAAAACATACGATGGTTGTCGACATCGGATGGACAAGAGAAACGATTTTTCAAGTCCCGTGAAGAATGACTCGGCCTAAAACACAGTTCATCAATCTGAGAAACAAGTGTTAAACAAGTTAGGGTGACTTTTTGTCAGGGGGGGGGCGGGGGGCACCCTTGTCTTCAGATTTCGACCTTATTGATAATGCATCACCGTGGAGCCTAAGGGACATAATCCCTTATCCAATACTGTGTCTACTTCATGCCATAATATGTGCTTATTAGTTTCATCTGAAGGCCGTAGTATTTAAACCATACAAAACCTATGTAATCTCATATACTAAAAAACTTTTGCAAAACTTATGACGGCTAGCCTGACCATACTACCAGACCGAATTACACGCGGTTGGTACCAAATGAAAGATATTTTCCTGAAGATGTGCAGAATAATTTTATAAATTAAAATATACTCAAAAATTAGCAAAAAAATGAATTTGAAAAAAAAATGACATGGGCTTTATGGGTTGCCATTTTGGTAACGAAATAAAAACAAAATATAAATAGAAAATCAAAACAAAACGAAGAATTTCCAATCGCATATGTTTTATTTACAGCGAGGGGTAAAAATTGAGAAGTTTGCACAATACATACTTTTAGTCGAGTTTTATACGGGGCGAGCTCTCGTTGTATATTTAATTAATTAATTATGACTAGTTGCTCTACCCGTGCTTCGCTACGGGGCGAGAATACAGAAAAGAATAATTCGGTTTTACTTTGAGATACTATAATATACTATAAGAAACAGTTACAACACACATAATAGGAAACATATAGGCACAGGCTCATTCGTGCTTATTGATTATTCAAATGAAGATCTCTCAATGTATTACAATACTATCATTTTATATAGTGTATAGCATTTAAAATATATATGCTAAAGTATAATTCATTAACCACATGGCACCAAGAAACAATTCTCCTAGTAAACAAATTAAATTAAATAGCAGAACAGCATTTCTGACATCAGCTGGAGTTTCATAACAATGTTTGTTCCCCATGTTAATCTTATGGAGAAATATGAAACTTTAAAGGGTCCCAGGGCCTCATTCTTTAATTATTTAGCTAAAAAGAAAGCTTCCTGCACAACTTCACGTTACGCTCTTTCAAATGACACCTAAATCATGTCAATCGGTTCAGTAGTTTCGGAGGAGTAATTGTCACAAAAAACTTGCTTGCGTATTAAATAAGTATAGATTAGTCTATTCTTTATAAGATAACTGCTTCTGTAATAACGTGTCATTCTCTTTATACATTCAATATTTTCTTTTATGTCCACAAAAGTATTTACCAGTTCCATAAAAATACAGATATTCATCCTTAAAAAAAATAACAATAGTTTAAGAATGCAAAATATACAGCAGGTATAATTCTAGGTGTATAACTATGTCCTTGCCTTGTGATTGTTCAAACTAAACTCAAGCAAATATTAATAGGCGTCAGTTTAGGTATATACATATCAAATATTTACTGTTAAGTCCATCTTGTAGAATTTTATTGTAATTTACTTAGCTTTTAGGCTTTAGACTTCTCATTGTAAATTTTGAAGCTCGTATTTCGTGTCTAGTTCATGGACCAACCCTGATCGCTAGTGTGGAAAATTTTGTTTCTATTATTTTAGTGTTATTTTCATGATTTGTGCTTTACTGTTTAGTTATATAAATAGGAGACCGGTTATTGTTTATGATTAGATCAATTTGGTTAATTGAGGTTTTAAGTGACTGAAATAACAGGAAACAAATTGTAAACTGAACACGACCTATACAGTGTAACGTACAGAACTAACGATAAAATTTGCTTCAGCTGTTCCATAACGATAAGAAATCTACTTAGATAGTGTGTTTATCTATGGTTTTATTTTATATTTTTTCCTCACTTACAATCACATAAATATTGAAAAACGTAATTAGAATAGTAATTCTGACAACTTTCCATGCATATGTTGTAAGTCCTATGAAAATAAAGCTTTTGAATTCCAATTTCTACAACTTAGGCAACAATCTTACCAAACTTAACCTAACTTTTTACACGTGATCCATGCTAAACAATTACTATTCCACCGCCGAGTCCACGCCCCTGACGAACCCCGTGTCAGCTGTCTCTGTATCTGATGACGTCACGATTTATACCTTAATTACCGCCCAATTAGCATCCATGTAAACAAGCCTTGGGTCAGAATAAGTCATAAATCCCGCAGTGTGACATGGACAAGCTCGCGTGTGTATAGATTTATGTGTTCTAAGCCGCACTACGGGGACCTGCTCTTCATTTGGTGGAAATAACGAATTTAAAGAAGTGGTGTAGCATACCACTACGGAGAATGAAAATTTCAGTGGATCAAGTAATTAGGACCACTATACAGAGTGTTTCCAAATTGTCTGGACATATTTTGCGAACTTGTTTCTTGGGCTAAAAACATAAATTGCATATAAGTATGGGTCTAAAATGCCTAGATTTGTGTTTGTCGGTCTCTTTGTGATTTTTAAGAATTATTTTATATCTTGTGCATTTTTCAAGGTATGAATTTCAAAATTGGTATAAATGTGTATTTTAGTAGGTAGTAAGAGCTTACAAAGTGTCGTTCCAATATCTCAAGCCGTTTCAATATGGTCATTTAAAATCTTTAATACAAAATTTCATAAAAAACGTAATATTAAGAATATTGTTTTTAGATAAAAAAAATTGAGAATTTAAATCCTGATCAAATGAGACCTTGTCAAAATCTTATGACAAACAACTGAGTCTTTTCTTCTACATTCGGTTATGCAATTTAATAGGACTTCCATATTGTTTATTGTTTGTTATTTTACAGAACAGTTTGCTCAGAGAGGACTCGCGTAGCTGTTACTTACTGTGTATTTAACCTGAAGTAATTATTTAAATCGTAACGATTAAGGACTGTGATGATTGTTTTAATCATAGATCTAAATTACCGCATTCTTCGGTGTCCTCTTCCCGATGCGAAGTACATGGAAGCTAATAACACAATCAACCGCAAAGAAAATAAATTAATAAAAAAATACGTAAGGATGGTAATGCATGCTTGGTGTTGAAACAGAGTTTAAGTCCTAAAACAACCTTAGTCCACTAGGGTTTCAGCTCACTGGATTGGAACGTCACGAAGAAGAAGAAGAAGAAGAAGAAGAAGAAGAAGAAGAAGAAGAAGGCTCCCTTCGACGCGGTTTTTGGCCGTGACGTCACAGAAGACTGTCATTAGTCAAACTATCAAAGACACATCTTATTGAAGGGCTTCAGCTAGAAAATCACGTGATAGGTTTTGTTAATGGAAATATTAAAATAGCTTAATTTAATTTATAGTGTATTGACAACAGTGGAATATTTTAATGGTAAAAGAGTTTTTTATTCGTGATTTTTTTATTGTGTTGCCAAGCTGTTTTATGTATTCTATAATCCAATACGAATCATGTTGGCACATTTAACTATAGATACATAGATAATGGACTAGTTATTCCAATAACATCTAAATGTTGTAGCTGGTATTTTTTTTTTTTTTTTTTTTTAAAAAGCTTGTGAAAAATCAAAATAAATATTTTTATGAACGAATTGCTTTACCGATGAACTAGTAGATGCAACTTTTAATTTTACATTTCAAACAAATATTAGTTGAGCTAGAGTATAGTGTTTGCATTTTCTAAACATAAGTTTTTAAGCTGTATAACAGATAGTTTTTGTGAAAGTTTCGACATTCACATCTCTTAGTCGTTTTGTACACGTGGAATGAACACAAACTGCCAGCTACACAATTTTTCAACGAATTAATTGGCACTAAACTGTATGACGGATGGGTAAATTACTGTAAAACATCTGCATGACCAGAATACGCAGAGCTCCGCTAGCATGTACGCCAAACTGAGTGAGTAAAAATTTAAAAAACTCAATCTATTTGTTTAATTTACAAGAATTTCGTCTATAGATTATTCATTGAATAGTGGGTATTTTACTCAACTTGCAGAATCTCTTTCTTGCTTATAAGTTTTTAACATGACATAGCTTAAAGGCAGTTAATATTTCTAAACCTACTGGGTTGAACGGGGTTCGTTTTTCTAATATGATTTTAAAATCTTAGAGAATAATTTGTATATAAAAAAATACGTTAGGTTTATTTATAACAATAAAATATGGTAATTTATTTTGTGTTTATTAATTGTTAAGTACGCTGAGAGTGATTTTGAACTTATTAATTTATTTAGGTGTTATCTAAATATAAAACGTATATAAAAATATATATTGTTATAAATATATGAATCATTGTTATATATTCTTGTTGATTGTAGTATGATATCGAAAAAAATTTATGTAAGTCATTTTTTGTCAGTTCTTATCTCCATGTATGACATGTATTAAGTCTGAAATGTAGCGTTTTGCCATCTTTGTATGAACATGCAAAAATTGAGTTTTCCGTCAATAAATAAACAATATGTATACGAAAATACCAGTTGACTTTTTAAAGTTTTTTTGCAAGGTAACGGTCCAAACCCTGGTCTCAACCTTTTTCTTATTTAGCATAATTAATTGATAGATCTGGTAAAGATCTCTCAGAATCGAACCAGTGGCTTTCATATTTGAAGGTGAGCACTATAATCACTCTGCTGCCCAGACTAATTGCACCGTGTATATTGTTTCTTAGTGTTCCTGTTTCCAAACATGGAGAGCTGGGTTAGTTCAGACGCCCTAAAATATATCAATTGAAGAAACTTTTGATATCTGCATTGTGTTTCAGCTCTTGTTTTAGTTTGTCTTCTCGCCAGAGCTTCCCACCAAAAGGAATTCTTACCTAAGTTGCCAGCTCTGGACAACGCACATCTTGACTACTTGGGAAAAGCACCGGATGATCTGCAATATGCATTTATCGTAAGGGTTTTATATACCTAAGTTTTTCTCGGGGGTTTTAAGATAGTACCATGGCCTCCTCTGACAGGGCGCGGCGAGACAGAAGTGGCAACGTCGCGTACCCGTCCTACTGAAACAGCTGTTGCACTACAGGGGCCACGAGAGTCTGCAGTTAGCGGCAGCCAATAGAAAGACTGGACTAGCGCGACGTTGCCACATCACCCTAAAATTCAACGATAATTAAAATATCCTTAACAATATTTTCGTAGTCATGTGGTAAATAGGCTCCTCCCTCAACTTCAGACTCTCGTGTACCATACTGTAATTCAGACCGTACTGTTGGCCTAATTCAATAGCAAATAGTTTGTAGTTACTTCTAAAGATTGGGATTTTCTATGTAGACACGATTACACCTGAAATTACCAGCATTGTAAGATAGAAACAATTTTAAGGTCATTTTCGTCCGGCTTGTCTAGAGAATTTTTTGTTCTCATGGTTTGTTTCTTGTTATTTGACAAGAAACATACCGTATATAAAATAAAATATGTGACTCTTATAAATTGGAAATGTTTTATGGTACCAAAACAAAGCGCCAGTAATACAATACAGTATATCTTTATGGTACATATCAATCGTCATTAGCGCAGCCAAGGTCTCTAACAACACAGATCAGCTTGAGGTTAAAAAGAGGGTATTGTACTATATAAAATAAATTTTAGTAAATAAAGCCTCAAGTAAGGTGATCGACCGAGCACCAAATCATACATTTAATCTTAAAACATCCTTCTAGTGTCCGAAATTGTCACTAAAAACATGAGTAGGTACTAGTATCTTTATTGTTTTTTTTCGAATTTGTCTTTGACATACTGTATAGCTGATAGCTACAACAATCCTTTACTTTCAGATTTTTAGACACGGAATAAGAAGTCCGTTCAGTGCCGACATTTATCCTTCAGAAGATGAATACGCACATCAATGGCCGGATGGAAAACAACAGCTAACTCAGGTACTGAATTATTTACAATGTAAAAATAAAAATAACAAAATTTCTTTCTTACTTTCACGTCCTAGGAAGATATATTCTAGCTCTAGGTTGTTTCGCACAATTACAGAGTAGGCATAGAAATTCACTTCATTGTCACTTTCAAATCCATTTTTGATTGGTGGTATTAGAACCCAGGACCTCAGGGAACGAAGTGTATCACTAGACCAGCTCCCAACCAAGTTCAATTGGATAGAGGCAGATTATATAGAGGCAGCGTAAAAACATATATTACTTTTATTACTACATTTTCCCCTGATTTCCCCCCAAACCGCGAGTTGACTTATTGCAAAAAAACTGTCAAAAAACTGTTAACTCATCACTTTTGAAGATACATGAACCCAGTCAGTGTACAATTTAGTGTTGTATTTGTATAAGTAGTTACATTTGTGAACAATTTATTTTTTCATTAACTTTTATTGAGGTTTTGTTCCTTAGTATGTCTTATATATTGTAATAGATTCTCGACTTTAAAAAATCTGGTAAGGATATTCATTCACAGCTTGTTTTTTTATGTGCGATGTAATTCCTAATAATAATAATTGAATTCCTAACAGTTCACAATTGCATAACCTGTATGTGTTGAACGAAATGTATTGAAATCTTTTTGTGTATTTGCCCCCACTAATGCCATACATCCTAAAATCCCAAAAAAACTTCAGTTGATAGGGTTGCCGGAATTGTACCCCTGGAATTAGTTGATGCTAGAAATTTCTACTTTCATTTCAGCTCGGCAAAAAGCTGATGGAACGGGTTGGACGCAGTCTGAAGACCAGGTACAAACGTCTGATCCCGGAGTTCCACAAGGACTACGTTGAAGTAACTGCTACCAAAAGTCCCAGGGCAAAGCAGTCTGCCGTGCGAGTGGTAGAAGGGATGTACCCGACGCCAGATAACGTAAAGGATATAACGAAAACCTGGGTTAAGGAGGAAGAAATGAAAGTGTTTGAAGCTGACAATTACGAGGTTTGAGTTTTACTATATTTTTTGCTGTCCCAGTTTTAAGAACTTTTAATATTAGATTTGCCTTCGTCGCTGGGTTCTTGTGCGATCAACCCGACCACAATACTTGTAACCACTTATGTGCAACTATTTCTGTAGATATATACTGTATAGTTAGTGGTAAGACTAAGGAATCACAAGACCCCTGAAGATCCCACACAGGTGAAATCATCGGTTGAAACCATCTTACTCACAAGAACAGAATAGTACATTATTTATTAAGTTTTACTTAGGCGGGTTAAGATATTATAAGTGGGGAAGTGAGCTCTTCAATCAATTAGAGTCCCATGCCCCTCTTGAAATAAAGTTACACTCGCTTGGCTGTACTAGAAAGGTAAAAGAGTGAAAGAGATATAAGACTGCTAAGGTGTAACTAAAAGTATTATTGATGAGGATAAATTATGAAAAAGAAAACTTACTAAGGGTGGAAACACTAAATAAGAGATTTGTATGATATTTAAAAAAGATTAAGTTACATAAAAGTAGAAGAATCAAAGATTGAGGTAAATTAACAAAATTCATATGACTTAAGCCTAAGGAGACCAACTTCGGATTTTTCGGCAGTTAGTATTTTTTGCTAAAAAGACGAACTTTCGATATATCGGCAGTTTAAATAAACGATAATCTAAAAAAATATAAAATTAAAAACAATCTACTACAGCATGCAAGAAATGTTAATGAGGGCTGCTATTACAGAATACAGAATACAGAATACAGAGTACTTTATTCATGAGCATCAAGCACAGAATGGTGTCAATACATTTTTTTTTTTTTTTTACATGAGAAGATTTTTAGTGTAACCGTAGATGGGGTCTTGCACGGGCCGTAAACTCCTCAAGGCTGTAGATTGGGTAGTCAGCAAGCCAATTCCGAATTCGCCTTCTCAACGTTGTAGGTGAGCCCTCTTTGACAATCTGGGGAAGAAGGTTGAAGAACCTCGCTCCAGCATACGAAGGCTTCTTCGAGAAGAGTGATGTTCTGTGGGAGGGCAGATGGAAGTCCTCGTTGTGCCTCGTATCATAACTGTGGAAGGCAACATGCTTCGACGAAGAGACCTTAATTGTGTAGGAAATTGCCTCCAAGATGTAGATCGAGACTGCGGTGAGTATGCGTAAGCTACGGAAGGTTTCTCTGCAGCTTTCTCTTGGTTGAAGACCGACCATTATTCGCATTGCTTCTTTCTGGAGCACCAAAACTCGATCCAGGTTTTCTTGTGATGATCCACCCCAAAAGATGATCCCGTACTTGAGGTGGGATTCAAACAAAGCATGGTAGCATGTTCGTATAGTTTCGGAGGTACTGACGGATCGAACCCTCCTTAAAGCAAATTTCGCAGAGCTTAGTTTTAGGCAGAGTGCGTCAACGTGTTGATTCCAAGTAAGTTTTTGGTCTAAAACGACTCCCAAATGCTTGGTAAAAGTGCAAGTTTGGATGTTAGGAGGGCCAGAGACTTGGTTTTGTAGTCTTCCTATGATGAGCTGGGTAGTTTTATCTTCGTTGAAGACCAAATCATTGTTATCACAGTAGTCCTGAGCCAGGTTTAGGGCGATGAAACTATCCACTTCTAATTCTTCTGCTGTCTTCTTGCAGGTCAACAGGACGGTGTCGTCAGCAAACATTACCGCTTTACAGAACGTATTAACATGGCTTGGGAAATCAGCCATAAACAAGGCGAAAAGCACCGGTCCCAAGACCGAGCCTTGTGGAACACCTCTATTTATTTTTAGCGGTTTGGATTGAACTGCTGTTGTTGTTCCATCGATGGTTTGTCTCAGCTCCACGATCTGTGCTCGGCCGCTTAAGTAACTTGAAAACCAGTTGATTGCTGTTCCTGCAATGCCGAGAAGTTCCAGCTTGCTCAGTATCAAGCTGTGGTCAAGGCAGTCGAATGCTTTGCTTAGGTCAAGGTAGGTGCTAATGGTTGTGTTTCCAGCATCCAAGTTGTCAATGATGTGCTCAATAATTTCCCCGAGAGCAGTCACTGTTGAGCGACCTGGGATGAATCCATGCTGCTCGCTGAGCTTGATGTCATTTTGATGAAGATGATCCCGAAGTCTATTCAACACAACTCTCTCCAAGACTTTAGAGAATGTAGAGACGAGTGAAATCGGCCTATAGTTCTTGATTTCATCCTTATTTCCTTTTTTGTAGAGTGGGTAGACTTTAGAGATTTTCATCTTTGATGGAAACACACCTTGAGCTAGTGAATTGTTGATCAGGGCAGCTAAGGGAGTGAGAAGTTCCTTCTCGCAGAATTTCATGATTCTTGATGAGATGTCATCCACTCCTGCTGAAGAAGACTATTCAAAGGTTATAGCATTTTTTTCCCAAAAAAATTGCAGAAACTTTTCAAGGTACCCCGTCCTACGCAGCGCGACATATACTTTAGGGTTGGACTCTAAAGGTTTAAATTTTACATCTTTATAAATTAAGCTATATTTTTTACATACTGTTACAAACAATGGTCCTTCGAATCACATACACCCACTCGCACTCCCAAACCTTCTTCAGCTCGTGGTCTTCTCTCATTTTCTTCTCAGGTCCACGGACCTCAAAAAACTGGTATTTGTTACAATTTGAAATCTTTGTATGAAACATGACTGTAAAGAACAACGATTATAAATTGGGTGAGTACACTGGCTTACCTTTTAATTACATAGGTCATAGGTCTTTCAACCATACAATAATTTAAGTTGAATGTAATAGGATAACTTTTGATTTTCAACCTTGAAATTCACGTTTCAGATTTTTGACGACGTCGAGGGCCACAAAAGCTGCAGACGTTACACTCTCATCAAAAATGAAATAATAAAAGAAGAGATGAAGAAACTGTCGTACGGCAAATCACGTCTTATCAAGGCCCTCAACAAACTGATGTCGTTGAATAAAGTACCTGCCACACCTATCAAAACACTGGATGAGTTTTTCAACGTGTGGGACGCTTATGAAATGACGGTGTGTGTTTATTCTCTTCAAGTAGAATAAGCAGACATTTTAGGAATATGCATCATTAGAAATGCGATATCACTCTAGTAGATTCATCAAAGTGTTTTTAAAAGAAGACTACTGCGTGAATGGTGGTTTTTTTTTACCATTGCCTCTGCTTCAAAAAACAAATTAAGATCAAGGGGTTGTGAATTTGTATCACAGAAAAGTTCTCAATAACGTACGAATATTTATGTCTCGAAAAATAACTAGCTCTAAGTTCAGTAGTTAGTGAGACTGAGTAAAAGGCCTTTCTTTGAAAAAGAGTCAATGCTAATACGTATCTTTGGGTTTAGCAAACATTTCAAACCAAGTTAATCACAAAACAGTATAGAAGCACATTGGGAGATTTTTCTAAAGAAAAGTAATATTTTATTTGTGTTGTTCTCATTCAACCCAACATCGCCAAAGTGGTCACTTAACAAGACCTAATAAAATGTATAAGAAAACAAACACTTTCAAATATACTATCCTTGATGTTTTTGTTTTTCAGTATTTCAACGGAAAGAAAGTGCCTGTTTGGGTAGCTCCAATGCTGGAATCTTTGACCGATATCGCTCAATACAGACTGTGGATGAGAATGCACGGAAAAACGGACAACGGAGATTCCATTCTTCAGTACTATACTGGTACTTTGTAACAAGTTTAATCCATTTTAGCCTGTTGCCCTCCCAGAAACTAGTCCCTTTTAAAGTGGTCATTGAAATATTTCCTTGTCAAGATTGGAGAACCTTAATTCCAAGTTTCATCGTTAACTGAAATTTTCTTGATCGTATCCCACAAGTTATAGTTCGGTGAAAAATTTTCACTCGCCCGAATTAACTTCAACCGGTCTTCTATATTCTTGAAAGATATATTTTGACAGTAATCCTTTTTGTTGATCACTCATTTTATGGGTACACCATAAGTTGAGAGTACAACACATCTTACAATATCATTCCAGATATTATATATATGTAGTCTACAACTTCAACTTTTTCAGGCCCGCTGTTAAACCAGATAGCGCTGGAGGCGGTGCATGCTGAAGAGAAATGCAAGCGATTGGTGTTGGAAAGGAAAAGAGGCGAAGACCGTAAGACTGCCAACAAATGCGCTAGTATTCATCTTCATGGCTCACACGATCTGACGGTAGGAGCGTTGATGTGGGCGTTGGTGGAAGACACTGAATTCATCGCAAAACCTGGTGACACGCTGATTATAGAAATCGACAGCGAAAGCAAAATCAAGGTAAGAGTAATAGAAAATTAGGAATTGAGTAGGCCTATTTAAAGGTTCTCCGAGTTCAGGATAGTATTTTTGTTTTTTGATGGTTCGAAACTATTGATTATTGTTGCCCCTATAAAAAAGTAATTTCTGGCCATATATGGCCATATCAAAATTCCATATATGGTTTCATAAAGCCATATATGTTTTTTTATGGACATATATGGAAGCAGATATGGCCAGATGTGGTTGTATCCATATATGGTGGTGTCCATATATGGTCATATATGTAGTCTATATATGGAATTATTGGCCATATATGGCCATACATGTTTTCTATATATGAAATGATTGTCCATATATGGCCATACATGTTTTCTATATATGAAATTATTGCCCATATATGGCCATAAATATCCTCCATATATGGAATCATGGTCTTTATATGGCCATATATGACTCCCAGGTATGGAATTAAATTACTCATATACGGAATAATAATTTTCCATTTATGCTCATGTATAAATGAGTTTTTGACAATAACTGGAATTATTATAAGGAATAGTTGCCACATTTGGATTTTGTAACTGGACTCCCAAACACTTCTTATAATATATATAATACTATAAATCTTAAAGTTTGTGAGTTTGTGTATTTTCTTGTTGCTCTCGGAAGCACAAACTACTGAACTGATTGAGTTGAAATGTGGTACAGTGGGGGGCAGATAATATAGGCATTTCTCATTTAAAGTAATTAGTAGTAAAGTAATAAAGTATCCAGATTTGAACCCAGATGACAAAATCCTGTACATACATCTATTGTACAATTTTACTATAACGCAACAAAATCTTAAAACTGACGTATAATTTTAAAATTGTAAGTGTAGTAGGCCTAAATAAAGAGAATATTATATTAATAATTAATTTATTGTACCTTTGCTATCAAACAGCTGCAAATATCTATGTCACGTAGTTAGGCTATATTAATAATAAAATTCTTCAAATGACATAAAATGTCTAAGAAAATCTTGTTTTACGAGACCAAATACAGCTTCTCTTATTCGTAATGGGTTTTGTAAAGACATCTGGTATGAAGAGGTTGTGGTGTAGTGGTCAAAGGGGTGGACTCCCACGCTGGAGTCCCGGGTTCAAATCCCAGTCGGCTACTTGAAAATTTTGTTTTGAAATTTTCAAATTAAAATTTTTTATTATGGTTTTAATGCATAGTTTATAAGATTTAATGTGAAAATATGTTTAATTGTAATTTTTTTTATTTATTTATATATTTTTTATTAAAAAATTTCCATATATGGGGGATTCCATATATGATCATATCTGGTTATATTTGGTCCAAAACCAAATATAACCAGATAAAAAAAATTTTATATGGCCATATATAAACTTTTTCATAAGGGTGGGCTTTAGAATTATCCTGAATAATAGAAAAACTCATCTTAGACTCCCTAGAAGCTAAAGAATATTTCATTCTATACTCACATTACGTTTATATTCTGCTTAAAATACGCTTGAAGTCATTTCTCGCGGGTACGGGCTACTACAATGTCCGCGCATTTCTCGCTGACGGACAGCCTTCATGAATTGTACTTTAAATTTACATTTAACATGTTAGTTGATAGTTAGTCCTAGTAAAGTTGACTTGGCTAATGCATATGTATAAAGTTAATCTAGCCAAATGAATGAGTTAATCCATTGATCCAAATCAATCTAAAATGAGAAGAAGCAAACTTTCCAAAGCCAGTAGAAAACTAAAAAGCAGCTTTCTTCTCTAGGGGAAATTCCCCGTGAAATTACAGAATTTAAATGGCAAACAATACCAAGTGATATATTTTATCAGATTAATCGCTAGTAGGCCTACTACATGACTCATGTAATCATTAGTATTTCCTAAAGTCAACACGACAATGTGTTGCAGGCCTACCTCTACTCACCATTGACCCCACTGCCGTTGAAGAATTTCAAGCAGCTGTCATTGAAAAATGTTTGCAAGAAAAAGTCTTGCGGCCTGTTTAATTTCATTGAAGTAATGAAGCAACGTGGGCTTATGTATTCGAAGGAGGCATGGGAAGAACAGTGCAGCAAAGAAGTGTTGACCACAGACAAACTCAAGTGGAGGGATCGCAAATCCAACTTCGTCATTTGGGTCCTCAAGCGAATCTTCTTCTTGTATTTCATGTTTGGCTAAACAAGATGGTTGTACGAGTACGGTACGAAATAAATGTGAAACATGATTTAAATAGCTTATTTACCGAGTGCGCATTTAGTTTAGTCTGTTCAAAAACGTCTTGAGTCTTTGATGCTGCGTTGCATTACGTTGCCTTGTTTGAAATCGCCTATATGAAATCAAACGATTGAAAGTAGTCCAGCCTCGAAATAGGTGCGCTGTAATGGTATTATAAGATATCACTTACTTGAAATAATTCTTTAAGAATGGAGAAAACTGAAATTAAGCTAGCCTCGTTGACAGCGTTTCCAAATTAGTAGATTTTGAATATGCCCCGTTAATATTGATGATGAAACTGTCACGGGATTTGAAAAAAAATGTTGATAGTACCAAGTTTCAATTTTGTAGCTTGATAAACCTGGTCATTGGCTTATGAGCAAGCCTACATTCTGTAATCATGATGTTGGAATCGAACTGTTTTGCCCTCCAAATCGATAAACTGAGTGTACGCTGTACCACCTTAATGATGACTTTGACATCATTTTACTTTTGATTGACCATTCGTCAGCATTGGCTACTGACTCCCTGAGGGTATCTTCAGGTGGTGTAAAATGTTCGACTAATTTAAAGTGCTAGCTTGTGAGTCATTAGTCACACTTTTACCTAAATATAAGTTCATCACCAAGATTTCATTAACTTCTTAGTTCTTTGCCTGCACACCGGCCTACAGTAATGTTCACATAGCAAGTAGGTTCAAAGAGCTTCCCACTGCCTGTCCTCAGTGTAATGGGAAATCAACGTTTCTACTCAACTCCAGAAAGACTAAGGACAGGTTACCGATCACGTGACGATGGCCGCCAATCGTGCTTACCAACAGCAGCCGGCAATTTGAATAATCTGCGTCCGCCTTAATAAACGTTCACATTGTCTGTTTCGAAAGGGTTTTTTGTGGCGCTACCGTGTCCGTAGATTATCGAGCCCAAAACACTTAATTCCCACTTGCGACTGCAGACGTACAATTGCCGGGAATTATAATAAACATAAAGACTGTGGGCCACTGGAGTTGTTTTATGTAAAAACCGTGACCCGTCGCGATCCGGCCGCGATAATGCGACCGATGATACCAAATTACAGCCTCGGCTAATAAAGGGCTCCCTTTTGTTCTGGGTCCACGGCGTCGGCGTTTCCTGTTACCATTACCGGAGCCCAGTTAGTAATTGAATTAAGCCAATAAACGCAGGTGAACTACAGGTGCATGGACCAGCGTTGATTATAGGTAGTGAGAATTTACATACGGACTGTGAGAAACTAGTAAATATATAGACGCGGATGAAGTGTTTAATGTGTAAGATAATTTTGAAGCAGGATAGGATGCTGTGTTATCTTTCTCGAGTGGGGGCTTGCTGGCTTGCAAAGTAATTTTTAATGTTGTTCAGCACAGACAACGTGTGAACGAGACGTAAAACACGACAATTTTACGTTTATCTTGTCTTGTCGGTTTCCAACATCCCCCTAAGGTGTAAAACAGCAACTTATTATATTCCGTAACTATTTTTCGCAAGACCGTTGGACGCGCCACGACCAATGCGACAAAGGGGGCCAGGTGACCAATGGGGACACAGTCGACTCGACGCAGGTGACACTTCTCATTGGCCGGGACTTGGACCAATGGGGAGCGAGTGTCATTGCGACCGTGGTGACATTGCGACACGCGCAGACTCGCGACAAAATCCATACCTGGCGACATTCGCCAATCTGGCTGCAAAATAACCCGGACCACCCACACTTCCACCCAACACCAGACCGCAGTCGAGTGGGACTGCACGCAAAACTGTGTGGTCGTCAAAAAATCTGTAAAAATAAATTGTAATTAGCCATTTAGAATTAAAAATCAACACATTAAAAAGTAACCAACTAGTTTAGAAATTAAAAAAAAACATTGCTAAGAGATTAACTGAAATGCTTGCTTCCTTTCCATCTGTGAAAGGCAACTGTGAGGCTATGGTATTGACTTTCATTTTGCGTTTCCAATGCATGTCTTTCTGGTATAACGATCACAGGTATATATATATATATATATATGAAGTTAATTTATTCATTTATTCATCCCAACGGTTTCTCCATTTAATACAGTTTTGACTAAACAAAATTAACAAGTTGGCAGAGATAACAATAATATTATTAGCTAACAATTAAATATCAACATATATACTGTACTGTACTTAGTAATAATGGTAACAAATGATGAACAAAAACAGTAACAAGCAACGATAGCAGCAATACCAACAAAATGGACTATGGTGATAACGATAACAAATGATAAACTATGCATTAGCTTTAACAACAGACTTTAAGTTAGCTATAACAATACAAGAATGACTAGCAAGACATTTTGTGGGTGGGTGTGTGCATGTATGACACCCTGCTGAATCACTAACTTTCATGTGTAACTCTTTAAAGGTAACACCTAGCTTGCACTACATCTATTTGAGGTAACACCAGACGGGGATGGTAACATTGGCTGGGTGAGCGCTCACCTAACAATCAAGAGGTCACCGGTTCGATCATGATATAAGTCAGTAGCTTTTTGATGGTTCAAACTTACCCAGATATATTCCTAATCATTGGGCTATAAATAAATTATCCTGGCTAATGAAACAGCTGATCTTAGTAACAACGCTACACAGATCATGTCACACCATTCTACACTCATCTCACTCATATTTGGGTTAGATACGCACCTAGGTAGCGTCCCCATATCAGTGATTGATAATTGCTCAAGTGAACCTATACACAAATGTTCAAGTGAGTTTACCATGTATTTCTTTCCCAACGAAAAACTATAGTTATTATCTATGCATCAAAATCATTATGGAGAGCCCAGTGAAACCATCAGTAGAGTAGAAATATTTCAATGACAAAAATAACGTGGAGCTCGAACCAGTGTTTCCTCTAGGTCACCACACACCACACATACACGACACATACACGACACACACACGCACACACACGACGGTCCAATAGGTCCAGTTTTCTCGTGCGTGATCTCACTCACCAGTTTCGAAGAAGTATCGTGCCCGATCTCCCACCAATTATCTTCAACGTGGGAAACAGAGGCCATTGATGATTATTTACATTCGTCAGCTGAGCTGGACCCATTATTGGATCAGCTGATCTCTTATGTCATTGCAAGGAGATGGGTTTTAGTCATTCATATTGTTTTTGTGTAGCTGGGTTTTATTGACGAGTGTTTGGTAATCAAAAGGCTGCTAGTTCAATCCCGGGAAAGTCAGAAGCATTGATAGATCGAAACTGGACCCTACTGTTCTTGAGAATTAAGCGTTTATAAGTTTCTTGCTAAAATCGGCTGGCCTTAGACAGTAAGCTACATGAGGAATCTTTGAGTCTACACTCATCCTTCACCCATATTTGCGTAAAGTACGCCCAGTTGGTTCCGCATCCCAAAACTATCAGTGGCTCAACTGAACTTTTTTTCAAGTTCTTTTTCATATTCAAACTGGCGTAAACTTTAACATGGAAAAATTAACTTTGACGTTATGGCAGTGTTACTAAGTTATATTAAAAAATATGTCGAACTAAAAGTAAGAGAATTGTGACCATTTTTTCTTTCTTTCTTTCTACGCCAGTGGCATTTCACGAGAGAGCCACTAGAGAATAAATGTTTAGTGGATGTGCCGGGGATTGAACCCTCGTCCCTTCCGCACCGAAGTCCGAGACTCTAACCACTAGGCTAGCAACACAACGAAGAACCACCCACCATTGAACATTCTCCAATCCAGAGGTCAAAGACACCATCAAAATTCATATATATATATATATATGTGTCCATTTATTTATTTATTTATTCCAACGGGTTCTCCATTAAAACACTTCTACTATTAACACATTAATACTATTAACATTTCACTAAAAATGCGCCTTAATAATTTTTTGAAAGGCAAAGGTAATGGAAAATTCTCTTAATCTGCAGGTTTGCTGCAGCAGGGGGCTCTTCTTACCAGAATTCTCTGCATCTTACGTGAAGTTTCCCACATTTCCACTCATGCCTTTTAAATGTAAACGTGTCTTCATGAGGCATTTCAATTTATTTATTTATTCAATTATCAATTATCAATTATTTAAGATGGGGACGCCACTATGTGCGTATTTTAACCCAAATATGAGTGAAGGATGAGTGTAGGATGAGTGGCGCGATCTTGTAGTCTTGTTAGTGACTAAGGCCGACATGTTCCTTAGACACAGCTGTTAATTAATAGCCCATACAGCTAATGGCAACTAAGGGACCTACAGTTTATAGTGGAATCCGAACCACATTTTTCCTTGTAATTTACGAATTGGTCTAATTATCAGGATAGTACTGCGGATAGTCGTAGTACTCACTAGTGCGGACGTTAATCCACACCAGTGAGCATCGCATCCACAGTGCATCCCTATAAATATCCACAATTCGTGACCTCCTAGTAGCTGGATTACAGGACGACGCCACCCGTCCCAGTCTTTCAACGGTAACACTATTTTTACATTCGAATATGCATAAATAGGATTAAATCATGATTAAATCACTTTATAAACATAGCATAATTAGGTAATAAATATGAGCAAATAATAAGAATAAATTAGAAAGCGGACATGACATGCAAAAGACATAACCAGTATAAAAGAAAACAAAAATACATTCATAGGCTGAATCATTTCAAGTGTAAGACATACATAAACATAGCAAATTAGGTAAAGGCTACTCAAATACGTGCAAGAAATAAGAATGAAAGTGAAAAGTAGGCATAAGATGCAAAAGACTCGCATGTAGACATAGGATGTAAATTTCAACCTTAGGTAACTATACACCGCCAAAGATTGTTCGATTACATCTTACACCCCAACTCCAAGTGCACCCGTTTGTCATTGAATAACCAGTTCCTACATACACTCATGTATCAGTATCGGTAGAAATATCGCTTCAGGCTCCAATAAAAATAGTCCACATGAGTATCGCCCATTAACACAGCCTAGGCCGTGTTTCTTTCCTAGAACATTAGCCGCCAAAAA